GCAAGGAAAGCCAACATTTTGGCCCTAGCCTTCCAAGGTCAATTAAGACTCAGGAAGTATGAGAACTTGTACTGTAACATCATGTAACTCAGTTGTGTCCCAAATTTTCTGATCAAGGAGATTATGGGGCCAAAGAGGAAAGTGATCAATGATGTAGAGTATGCTAAATATATATTTTTATCTCTACAGAAACCAAAATTTCATCCTACAAACCACACTGGGGTTGTTTGTAATGGAAATTCCAGCCGTCCAAAACCAGAACATGTGAAAGTCAATAAAAGAAGCAAAGAGGGTTTATTTACAAATGAAGATGTATATGAACATCACTCCCAAACTTGCAGAATCACAAGATACGGTAAATCCAAGCGTAAGCAATCAGCTCTTAACCAAACACACTCTCCAGGACTCACAAAAGGCCGCCATTGTGATGTCAAAGATATGAAAGGAAGAAAGAACTCACAAGATAAAAAGACTCAGGCAGATGATGGAGACTACACTTCAAGAGAAGCAGTAGCTGTCTCATCTCCTAGGACAATCAATGGATCAGTTGCTTGTCAGCAGCATGATCTCCAAGCCCTTAATGACCCTCCCAAAGACTCACATGAACCCTGTAGCCCAACTCCATCAAGCCTAAAAGATGGATTAGGTAACGAAGTTGAGGTTTGTTCAGCTTCCAAAGAGGCAGATACCCACCATCTCGACTTACCAGAAGGTCAAGAAACACAGTTATTGGGGTTAGAGTGTATTGGCCAAACTAAAGTTGGTTCTTTCTCTGGACCTTCATTATGTAAAGAAGTCAAGTTACCACCTGTTTCTGTAGATACTGTTTACCAAGGACCACAGAATAGCCCTTATAAATCTCCTAAAATTATTAAGTCAGGTAAAAATAATAAGACCTTTAATAAATGGGAAAGTTCTTTCCTATGCTTTATAAAGAATAATTGTGATGACTGCTTTATCTCTGAGAAGGTGGTAACATCTGGAATGCCGCTGTGTTCTACAGGATGCAAAAATCACTATGAAGGAAACTTAAGAAATAGACAACAAGGGGATTTTCAACAGTTTCTACCATCAGAAGTCCATTTCTCACAGGAAAATGAATTAAAAGAAGACTGTATAACCATACTTCCACAACAGGAAGCTGTTAATTTTTCTGATTTAGATAAAGTAATAGTTTCTGAACAACATGTTGCCAATTACGAACAATGCACAGATGAAACTTCTTCTGCCCACTCATTTGGCAGTCCTGAGCACACTTCCCTGGCATGTACAAGGACCCTTTCTACACATGAAGCTTCAAAGTTGACTAGTCCTGTGGAGTTATTTAAAAAGCCTCAAGATAATAGCCCCAGGGAATCAAATCCTTCAATGAATCAAACAGATACACATACTATGGAAAAAGTAATGAAAGAAGACACTAAAAGGAATTACAGTGACAAAGACCAAAAACCAAGACCTTTTCCCATTGTTGTTCATACTCAAGAAATAGGAATAACTAATGTTGAAAAAAAGAAACAAAACCTTCCAGAGAGTGAGCCTATGCCTAACATAAATCTTTGTTCCACTAACAATATGCGTAAAGAATTGACTGACATCTCAGAATTTAATCAGAAAGGGAAGGAAATTTCTCACAAAGCAGGTATTAATAGTATTTCTCAATCTATGTACATTTCCTAATATTTTGCTTAATCGTTATATAAATTTCCAACTGAATTCCATTTAACCAGTGCCCAAACTGACAAGAATTAGACTGTGTGGTCCATGATTTGGGATGCCACTAAGTCTAGTAATTAATAATTACTTAATTATTAAATAATTTCTTAAATAAGCCACTTACTTAAGAAATGGCTGCTTGGCTGGTGAGATAGCTCAGAGATCTAAAGCTCCTGCTTAGGCAAGCTTAGGCAGACACAGAGGACCTCGATTCAATCCCTGCCATGGCATACCATGCCAGCCCCGCCCTGAGCAGGCTGAGCCAGCAAAAAAAAAAAAAAAAAAAAGATTGCTCAACTGATAAAGTATAGAAGTTGGCAAACAGTATGTCTATTTTTATGATTCTTTTTTATATAGTGCTTATTTAGTATTAGGAAACCTAACCACATTTTCACAGTAGTAAAGTGTTAGCTCTGTTAATTTCAACTATGTATGGCAGCTAGGAAACTTTGTTTTAAAAAAAGCATTTTAAGGTCTTGCATTCCTTTAAATAGTAATGCTTGAAATAGATTTCTAAAAACATGAATGTTCTTGTCATGTAACCATTGAGCTGTAACACTGATTCTATAAGTTATTTTTTCAGATGAGAAATTAACTAATATCAATGAAGATGCAAGCATTGTAACAGATTGTCTGGAGGAAAAAGAAAAAATTGATTTAGGAATTCACATGTCTCCTCATGCCCAAGAACAGAAAAAAGAGCAGAATTTCAGAGAAAGACAAAGTCTCTTGAAAGCTACCTGTAACCAAGGTTTGTATAGTTGTTCAGGTAAAAGATTTGGGAAAGCCAGTGACCCAGTCTCCTTCAAAGAGTTTCTAAACTTTCAAATTGCACTTTATATTTTTAAGTCATTCACTGTTATAAATTTATTTCAGCCATATTTGTTAAGGCATCACTTGAGGATCTGTTAGACATTGTATATGTTCTTGTCATATCTCTATGACTTATAATTTGCTATGTTAACAGAGATAGAATAAACAGCAGAAACATCCAGAATATTCCTTAGGACCAACAGTGGTAAACTGCCTCAGGTTCCTTAGGCACTTCCATTCAGTCATTTTAACAAGAAATATTAAAGAAGCATTGCCATTAGATTCTTTGTGTCAGATAAGTGGTTTGCAGTATGGGAAACTATTTTTCCTTTGATGGTTTTCAGAGCTAGTTCTGTGATGAAAAATAAACCTGGGCCACATTAGTTTAAACACTAAGCAAAGAAAAGATGATTCACAGTGTCAAGAGGTAGGGAAGCCACTAAATTGGTTCTCTGTGAATCTTCTGGTTTTTCCCCTTACATAAAATGAAGCCCTTCTTACATATCCTGCATTGGGTTAGAGCATGTCGACTTCCAGGCCCCTGGGATTCTTAATACTACTCTGTATAGTAAAAGATGGGATATTAACATTTTTGGAAAAAGAACATTTGCATATGTAATTAAGTACCTTGAGATGAACTAGATCATCCTGGATAATCCCAGTGGACCTAAATTAATGGCAAGTACCCTAATGATAAGAAAAGTAGAGAGAGATTTGAGACACAGCAGAGAAGCAAAGGAACGATATAGCTGTCAGCCACGGAAGCTGAGGAGTACTGACAGTCCTGACAGGCTGGAAGGAGCATGCGAGCGTCTGCAGTAGGACTTCTTCAGGCGCTGCAGCCCTGCTGATACCTTGACTTTGGACTTCGGCTTTCTAATTGTGGCAAAATAAATTTCTGTTGTTTTATGCCACTTGATTTGTGGTAAAAGTTGGGTGATCACTTCAGGAAACCGAAAGAGAACAGGAAAAAAGAAATCATCAAAGATACAAGAAATGAAGGACAGGAGTTTCTGTATTTAAAGCCCCATTTAGCATCCAGTACAGTGAACAACATGTCTCACTGTAGAATTTCAAAATAAAAATAAAAAAGGTTTTAAAACCTTCCAGAGAGAAAAAATACATCGTATATAAAGGAACAAATTATAGTATTTAATACCATTGCACATATTAATAGTATAGTATGAATCCAAACTATTTTAAAAGAGATTTAATGTGAGTACTATTTGCTTCCTTTTTAGCTTCTTCCAGGTATTATATTAAAATTTTAGTTAAATTCTCTGGAGATTTAGGATTACAGTAACAATCAGTTTTTAAATTTTTGCTCCAAAATTTTTTATTATCTGGCTATCTTTGCTGCAGATACACCAGACAAGGTAATAGGATTTGTGGCATCAACAATAAGAATTACTGGAAAGGATTTTCAATTTAAATGTGTAATCTATAGGCCTGCAACCTTAGATATTTTATAATTTTAAAATATATTCCCTCTCTGTGTGCGTGTGTGTGTGTGCATGCATGCAGGCATGCCAGTGAAGAATTTATGAGTGTGAGTATGTAGTTCTCTTTAAAAACAAGTATGCTTTAGTCTGGATGTCAGTGGGAGATAGCTATGGTCTGCCCTGTCAATCAGCAATCCATTTTTTGGAGAATATTCATTTAATCCTTTTGTCTCTTACTCTAAAATTGTATCGTGGCTTCTGGCATTTAGAAAGTACAATAAGAAAG